ATATATATATATATTTAATTAAATCGAATGTTTTTTTTTAAGGTTTTGACATCAATCCTATGTAACATGCATGTCAATCATCTAGACTGCAGTCTAGACTATTGGTAGCTATATATTATATTAGTACGTACTAGGGTGTGGACTAGTAGCAAATTAATGATCTGGTTTCAGGGCTTATCCATAACATTTTCAACCTGTGCACTTTCTATTCCATGTAGTAAAACTTAATTTCTATAGAAACATGGCATTTGAGAGACGCTGAGTAAGTTTCACCAATGTTTTCAAGCTGTTGCATCAGCCAGACTCTCATTTGTCTGCTCCGCTTTAACGGTGTGATGATCAGAGCTTCAAAAGCTCTAATGTTTGTTGACATTTCTTCTTTTTCACAGCTTCTGTGGCAGCTAAGATAGTGCCATTCACACAGCTGGACATGCAATTATATCTCTAAGGGCATGAGATACCTGGTCCATTTCCTACCTGATTAATGTTCTGTAAAGACCATGGGGCAGACATTTACAGCATGTAAAACATTATGTATGAATGAGACTAAACTGTTACATTCAAAATGGAGATAAAACTGTAAGTGGTTTAGTGTTTTTACGTGTGAAGCACTTTTTGTTACATTCTTCTTGTATGAAAAGTGCTATACAAATCAAAGTCTGATTAATTGATTTGGTGTATACTCCTGGCTCCTTTCTCACATCCACACCACAGATGTAGCATTTGCCTTTTACTGGTATAAATAAGGAATCAGTGAGACGCCTGGATAGCTCACCTGGTAGAGTTGGTGCCCCATGTACAAAAGACTGAGCCCCTGCTGCAGCGCCCTTAAGTTCAACTCCAACCTGTGGCCCCTTGCTGCGTGTCATCCCACCTATTTTTGGTTTTGTTGTATTTAATGTCTTTGCTGTAATTTCTCATTTAGTTTTGTAAAATAAATGTTTTTTTAGTTACAATTCATGCGTGTTACAACAGTGTAACACAATGCGATAAACAATATATCCAAGCTGCAAACTAGAACAAACAGCATAATTTATGCCTGTCTTCAATCATTTACAGAAGTGCCTTTTTTTCATTTGATGTATTTATCACATAAACTAGAACAATGGAAAAGAGAACCACCTGAGAGCAACTACCAGATAAATACAGTGCAGATATGTGACATTTCTTCACATAACGAGTTGCCCTGAACGCTCCATTAAACACAAGGTACAATGGATTATGGGACACAGAGGACTGAAAAAGATATTTGAGTTGTGTCCTCCTAATGTGGACAACCTACGGCCACATTTGCAGACTTTGTCTTTCAATGATCCATTCCCTAAATTTGGATAGGCTGTTACTGTCTAGACTTCCGCACAGGATACACCTGCGTAACCTTCCTAAGGTAGCCTCCTCTCTCTCAGTCTTTTTCAAGATGCATAAGACTGAAGCTTCCTCAATGATTGCAGACTATCGTTATCAGGTCCATAGACTAGAAAATGGAGGACACGGACAGCATAAATGGAAAGCACTCTGTGACTGCCTATTGATTTCACTCCCCACCATGTTGGTGCCTACATTATGTAATTATGTACCTATGATATCTGCAAAATGGGGTGTTCAATAGCATTATTATCCAAAGCTGCTGTGCTGAATGGGATGTGCATACTTTTTTTCATTTTAAAGTACATAAACACGTTCTCACACACACACACACACATATATACACACACTGTGGCTGCACAGTCCCTAATGATGAATATCTTGAATGCGTCGCACTAAGAGAGACCCAATAAAGTTGGATGACAGACAGAACGAGTTGAGCCAAGACAACTGAGGTAGAGTGTTCTCTAATATAAATTATTAAACAACACTTTAACCTTGACTGGAGTGAGCAAAAGCAATTAATCTTATATTAATTAAGCTATCGAAATTAGGTCTATGTGACACCCAAGGGCTGAATGATTAATCAATCATAATCACTTCCTATTTCATTTGGAAGTCCAGCCAATAATGCTGTGCCTGAGCCTTCATGATGTTAAGTGGACTATGAGGTCATATGTTATCATGCATATATCATTGCTATAGGAAATATTCATTGTAAATGAGCAGAATCTAAAAGTAGAGAAAGCATCTTGGTATAGGATTTAATTGTATGTTCAGTCTGCAATAAGCGAAACATAAAACCACATCCCTGTTAAGTAGTGTATGCATAATAATAATTATTGTATACATACCAATTACCTTATATGTTAGTATGTGTAAACATGGCATAGACTATCGCCATATAGTTATTGCTTGCGTGTCCTTTATGACAGAGGGTCCCACACAAGCATACAGGGATGACAGCATTGTCCTTTATATCTGAATGGTCTATAGTCTGAGATGTCATAGGTCATAATAGCAGGCATCCACGTCTAGTAGTGGCTATAGTCAGTTAGTATTCTGGGTACCTGGGATTCTGATGTTTATGCCATCTGTGCCATGCATAACTGCAGTGATAAGGGTCAAGCTGTACCACATTTTCTCTAAAGCATGAGATTAGAGATATTGCCCAGGGTCATACTGGCTGTCTCTCCTCATAGAAGTAGTACAAGATTCTAGGTACCTGTTGTAGGTCTGCCTTTGTGTTAAATATTTGGCATTGCGCTGTGCTACGTACACTCGTAGTACTGATCTTATTCTCCTTCGGCCTCAATAAATTCTGCTCTTTAAGCCATCAAGGTCTCCGGAAGTCTCCCTTGAGTACGAGTTGTTCATCTTCTTTAAAGTTTTTCAATCACAATTAATATTTAACTCCAATCCTTTATTTTATACTAAACAAGACTAAGAGTCTCAAACAAGAGTTAGGAATTGCAGGCAAAAAGTCTACAGTTATGTTGGCCTGTTATTGTTGTATTGTGTTTACCATCTTAGTTTGGCTGTTGACATTTTGATGACAGACCTACACATCTGGGGATCATGATTGCCTGTTTGGTGCCAAACCATCAAATATATATTGAGATATTTATTTGACAACTTCGACCTGCTGGTGGCGCTAGAGGTCAGAGGATTTCTAAAATTATTAAGATTTATCCTTAAGTGACCTTTATAGGTCTTAATATCTATAGCAAATCCAATGTTGAGATATTTCAAACTTGACCAAAGTGCTCGACCGACTGACTGGCCGACATTGCCTAGAGCCATGCCGCCAGCATGGCTAAAAAATCTAGAATTCAGACGTTCATTCTGAGTTCACCAAAGTGAGAAGCCAACTAGTGTTATATACGGCTGCAAGGCCTCTGCAGTGCTTTGCGACATTCAGCCATTCGGTCTGGCATTTCTGAAACTTTCTGCGATTATATGAAAGTGGAAATGTTTTAGAAGTCATAGAAAGGAATTGTAACTTTGTGGAAGACTCACACACTTAACATGAGAGGAGTTATACTCTGCATTCTGTCATCTTAGTGCCCTCCTTACGGACCAGAAACAGAAACTCAGTATCTTTAAAGAAAGCAGGCTTTCTGGTTTGCATAAGATCAGCATTAAGTAATTGAAGTTCCATTATGCATACAAACGAGAAAAAATGGTAATTTGTCACTCTGTGTGCCTCAGTGTTCTAAAATGCCCCCTTGGGATGTGGCATGGTTCAGAGCAGAGAAAACAAATGCAAACCCTGAGTTTGAAAGATGAGCTGCAGCCCACGCTCTCTAAGGCAATCAGATATGCACCTACTAATCGCTCTGGCTATTAGCCCCAAGCTTAGCAGACTGTATCAGAGAAACCAGGTTTTTTTAGTACAAAGGTATAGATCAACTTAATGTTTTGACACTAATGTTGCAATATGGAAGTGCAATTCAAGGTTTTATGAAACTGGCCTGTACAAAAGGGTCACTGTTGACCCTATGTTGACATACTAAAGATATGGAAAACTACGGATGATGCAAAATTTATTTTGGACTTAATTTTCTAGTCCGGCATCATGACCCTTGAGTTTGTCAAACCTTTCCTCACTTCATCCAAAAAACAATTAAAATACTTCATATCAGACAATGACACTCACATTGCAATTAGACCTGCCCTTATGAGGTGTCCTATTGACTTTTGCTTGTTCAGGTGCACTTCCTCCAGGTCCAGGGATTTTAACAAAGTTTGCAACAATTAATGACTATGGTGTCTGCATACAGATGGTGATTTGAATGAGAGAGTGGGAGGATCATGGAAGACATCATTATTGCCTATATACAAGACCACTTACTTCAAGAGTCTCAGTCCCTATTCAGACTTGAGGTGGACAGACACATAGCAGCTTACAGTTTACATATGTTTCTTAAGGAAGCCATATTAATGTTTTAGAGTGATGCTGTTTGGATTGGTCCTCCTGTCTGATGTATCTGCAATGATAGTTCTGGTATGTAAGACCCTTAAAGAGAAACTATTCAACCAGCTCTGTATCATTACAATTTGGGTAGTGAACAATTTTTCCTCCGTGTTGCCTGCACCCATAGCCCCCTACTCATTTGTAGACAAAAGTCTGCGAGGTGACACACTTCTCAATCAGACTGTCCATGGAGGCAGGCTTACAAAAAATGTGGAAGTACAATCTGTAGTTTGAAAAGCCCAGCCACGGAGAGTCGGATTCATACTTTTCTGGGTTGCATGAAGGCAAACATACAATGTACTGTTTTTGTTCGAAGAAATTTGCATGGCTGATTCTTTTAAACTAATGTGTATAGATTTTTCTTTCGTGCCTGTGACAGAAGGATTAACATATTTACATTGTTTTGATTATCATTTGCTCTATGAAAATTGGGCTTGAAATTTAATTATCACTTTAATTAATTAATGCATCTAATACATCTTTTTAGCTAATTTATTAGTGCCAATGATCGCTTAAACACAAATTACGAGACCAGTTCTAACTAATAAAATTTGACTGGATGCAACACAGTACAGCCTGTTTTCACATATTTCTTCTCCCTGCACACCCTGCTTTTGTCCCATTATTCAGAAACAATGCAGGACAGAGCAGCTGCAACCTGCGCATGTAAATCCTGATATGTTTATTTCACATCCTGTCTGGACCGGGCTTCAGAGAGGACTTCTAACTCCCAGGTAAAGTAGCAGTCAGCATCCTGCTTTAATGTGTTTTCAAAATAATGATGGCAGCTTGTAACAGCCCCTCACTGACTTCAAAGAGACACTTTAGCCTTCTCCATGACATTTAGAGGCAGTTGCAAAGCCCCATCATTGTGCAGAGACATTCAGACATTGAAAACTTGTGGTGAGTTTCTACCTCTACTTGTTATGACATTCTGTGTTTTTTTTACCCTCACCATGACTCCTGGCAGTTTAAGGTCTGCACTCAGCTCAGACAGGAATCGTTGACAGTCAGTGGAAAATTGTTGTGAAAGTTGTTCATCACTGAAGAGAGGTTTAGATGGAACCTTGGCCTCACAGATGAAGAGATCATCCTCTGAGCATGCAGTAATGATGCTGCATGCATCAGCAGAATTATTTCACTAGCAGAGAGGTGACATGGCTTCAAAGATGTCTCAGTTTTTAGAGCTAACATTCAATTAAGTAGTTAAGTATTTTATTTAGCGGCATTATACAATATTTGTTGACTTTAACAGCCTGTCAGGGACCGAGCTGGCAGGCATGAGAAGTCAAGGGTAAATTTTCACAAAAAGTGAAAATAATCAATTTAGAAAATATACAAAATGTTCTGGGCCCATGAAAGAGGTCAACTAAACAGAACTTAACTCAGGCTACATTAACTGAATGAACTGAACAGACTAAACCAAC